GATTCCAGCAATTTTACTGTTGCTGTTAGAAATATAGCTGTTTTTTAGGGAGCACCCATATAACAACAACAACAACAACAACAACAACAACAACAACAACAACAACAACAACAACAATTGCATTCTATCAAGACATTTCCAATGAATGGTGACCCTTTCCAGGGTTTTGTGTGTAGAGAACACATAGAATTGGTTTGCCCCTCTCTTCTTCTGGCAGTGCCCTGGGATTATACAGGTCGTATATGACTACACAGGCTGACTCTTCTCCTACGAGGTAGGTAATCAAACTCCCAGCCTCAGGCTCTGCAACCAGATATCTAAAGCACTGAGCTATCCAGCCATGGCAGATTATAACTTTAAAATCAAACTATCATGTTTGATTTAAAAATCAAACAATCATGTAGATTATATAAATCTTCAAAATATCAAACAGAATATAACAATGAGTGGTGCCAAGTCAAATTTTAACTGAAAGCACTGGATATTAAAGTCAAATCACTCTTGGGATAGATATTCAGAAATAGTTTAGAACTTCTTTCTTTCGGGGGGGTGCTCTTAGACCATGTAGCTTGCCTAAAACCACACAAGCAGACCCTCCTCCTTCAAGCCACTGTGGGTAATTGAAACTCAGGAGTCTTGCATCTTCCTAAACTATCCAGCTAGCTTTTTGCCCCATCATTCACAGATAACAATGTGTACCAAAAATTGAATACCTCATTTACAGCAAATATTTTCAACCATAATTACACAAGAACAACATGACACGTACGTTCTCAGGTCATTTGCAAACAAATGATGTTCTGGCAAAGTCATTGCATGCACCACTTGCAATCACAACTGGTTAGCAGCCTAGCCAAATTTCTCTACAATATCAAAACTATCAACTTCATAATCCTCACTATCCTGTTGCCATTTCAGTTGATGCCATTCAGTTGACTTAATTAGGACCAATTACAGTCATTTTGCCTGGAATGTTAATAGGAGCTTTCAAACAGAAATACTCAGCGTGTGATTTATTAACCATTACTGAGAAAGACATGAAACACACACATAAGAAATACACAATAATCTGCAATTTCAGACTTCCAAACTTTCCTTGCAACAAACCTAACAAGTACTTGCTTCAAATTACAACTACACAAAATCTGCAGGTAGCCACCCTGTTCTGCCTGCAGACGATGTGATCAACATTCTAGTACTCACTTGTACATAACAAACTACTGTACTAGCTTCTAAAGTTCCCTCTTTATGTTGCGTAGACGTTTTTTAAAATATCAATATATTTTCAGCTATGGTAACATGAGCTTAAAGAACACATTACAAAATATGAGTGCAGGCCTATCCCTTTTCCTATAGCCAGTGGGGGGGGAGTTAAATAACATCTGTCTCCTGGTGTTCTTTACTTAGCTTGCAGCCTCCCATAGCCATTGTTCCTTAAACAAACACACAAGATCCTTACAGTATGTACATAACATGGACAGTTTCCATTAAAAGTACCAAACAAACTAAGAGAATGATAAAATGTCAAAGAGCACAGAACCAACAGTAGGGGGAAAATGTTAAAACTTAAGGAAAAATAATGGCTGCATAAGTACTGCACTGGAGGCTCACTACAGAAGTGGCCCATAGCTTGGAAAAGTTAATTTTCTGAACTACAACTCTTAGAATCCCTGTATTGAAGACACCATCCAAAATATCTTTTCTAACCTTTGGAAAAAGCTCTCACACCTTCATAGCCATCTATAGCGGAACATTGGGCAGAAGAGCATGCAAAGACCATCTCAATACGTAAGCAGATAGGTGAATGGAGAGGAATCTCGCACTATTTACATGTTAAAGGTCAATAGACACACGTTGAAATAGGACTAGAAATGGATGAAGGCACTGTAAATGACAAAGCACTGGTTGACAATCTTGCTACTCTGGTTTTGGTCAGTTGAAACCTCTAAGCTGTTTTAAAAACCCCATGCAAAACAAACTGCAGTAATCCAAATGAGAGGTTAGCAAAACATGACTCATGACAAAACATAATCCTTACGAGTTAAAGGATGCAGAGGTCAGAGTTAATTACCAGTTCTGACTCTCAATGCTTATAGAAAGGTTGTGGAGACAAATCTTTTCAACCTGGCTTTTTAGAACTAATATTTAACCAATATTTAGTTGGTTGATTATTGTTTTATTAGAACACTCTCCAAATTAAGAAGGTAATAAGGACAATGCAAATATTTTTTTTCTTGGAAACTTCAAGCTGATTCTGTTTCAGCCCAAACAAGCCTATTCAACAGGCAAGAAGTTCCAGAGTTTGAATGTCACAATTTTTACCATGAAGCACAGCTTAATATCGGTGCCCAAACTTCTATAAGATGTTGTTAAGCAATGGCTGAAATCCAGCAGTAAGTCAAAACTAGAATAGACCCATTGAATCAGTGAAGATGTGGTGAGCCAACTCCATGTGTTCCACTGATTCCTTGGGCCTTCTCTGGTTGTGACTTACAGGATTTCAGCCTATATCTCCTATCATCCACAGCCAACATGGCCAATTTTTAGTGACAGTGAGAAATATAGCTCAGGAACATCTGGGGAGCCATTTGGCAAAAGTAGTTCTAATCACTCCACTGGAGTTTGACAACATCTGATACACTGTTACATTAACAGGACTTGCCCCCCCCTCGCCCCAGCAAATGCTGCTGCTATCCATGCAAGGAGGAAGTACAAAATACATACAAAGTATGATGTGTGATCCAGTCTGTATCCTTCAATCAACCACTATTTGTGTTGTATTTTGCAGCACAGATATTTGTAAAATGCTGCCATTGCATCCTGCTGTTAACTCTGCCTGCTAAGTTCCCTCAAAGACAAATAAAACTGCTAATAAAGCTCCCTTTTAAAAGGCCTTCCCACTCATTCACCTTCACTTTTCTGGATGCAATTTGTTAATAAAAAGAAAATAAATCCTCATTCTTGCTTTGCCACTGGGAAGATGTACGCATGTATAGTCAATGCACAACAGTTTGTTCAGGAGAATGAAATGCAACAAGAACGCTGGCCTGAACACAGTTTAAGAAGATTAAGGGAACAGAAAACCAGCAGCAGATGGGTTTTTGAAATAGAAAGGCTCGGTCCTGGGATTCTTAATTCCTAGTCTTCCTATGCTGTTACAAATTTCACAAGATGCATTTCAGACCAATTTCCTTTAACTAGCATGTCAGGAGTCTACACTACACAGCACTCACAGAGAAAGGAAACTGCTCTGTTTGATTGCAAGAGGATAGCTCTTTCCATGCAGCGAGCTGGACAAACCTCAGACTTGTAGAACGCACTTCTCCTGAGAACCAGTTTGGCATAAACTACGACTTGGGAGACCTGCATTCAAATCCCAAATTGGCCATGAAACCCACTGGGTGACCCTAGGCGAGCAACACACTCTTAGCTTGACCTTCTCCTTACAGAGTTGTGGTGGATACAGCAGGGAAGCAGAGACTCCCATGTGCTGCCCTGAGCTTGTTGGAGAAAAGATATGATCTAAACATGAGAGAGTTGCAGAAAGGTTTGCTTTTATTAGACCAGAACTAGGTATCTGGCTGCAGAGCCACAGGTTGGGAGTTCAGTTCTCTACTGTGTCTCCAGGAAAGAGAGCCAGCTTCTGTAGTAATGGGAAAGAGGTTGGGAGTTCAATTCTCTACTGTGTCTCCAGGGAAGAGAGCCAGCTTCTGTAGTCATGGGAAAGATACACAGCACCAGTGCATCCCCAGAAGAAGACAACGTTAAACCACTTGTGAATACTCTATCAGAAAACCCTGAAAAAGGTTGCTGTAAATCAGAGTTTTGATGGCACACCTGTATGCATGCATGCATACATGTTATAAGCTTAATGGAACTCTGGTTAAGCACTCTCTAATGTGCAATTGTTACCTACAGAAAACACAAGAACACTCTTTTTGTATTTTTGTAAGCAATTAAAAAAATACAGACTTCACAAAGTCAAAGAGGATGTGAAATATTTCAGAAGACATTTCTTACTAAACCAAATTCATCAGCATTTGAATCATTTTGGAAGCAACTAATCAGATGTTTATCAAAGTAATCAAAATATAGATTTTACAACAAACAAATAAAAGCTAAATTCTATAATTTAATGAAAGAATTACAATTTTTAAGGTGAAACATTAACACTTGCTTGACACTGAAGTGAAAACAGTGAAGTTGAAATGAGATTTTATGTTTGAAACATGAAAAGTTTCCCCAACCACGTGTGTCTCTTATTTTTTACTTTTACTTCTCTATTTTGGACTAAATTTAGCAAGCTAGCACATAACAAGTTATGACACATCACACAGAGCTTATGGTATGTTTCCTGATAAGGGTAAGGCTACTGAGTTAACATTTTCCCCCTCCAACATTGTAGATATAACTGTATGTCATTAAATGAAGGTGTAGCTTTTAGTTATTTCTTCTACACCGAAATTGCTTTTTCAAGTTGGCTTTAAAAGTCTTCATTACTCATATCCATTCCAAAATATTGCTGAAAAATGAGAGGATAGGAGGAAACTTTTCAGCTTTTAGAAACCAGCATGAAAACCAGCTACATAGTGCTCCAACATATCAGCAGGAACAATTTCCGTATAAAGAAACCTCATGATCCGTCTTTACAAACTATTTTTGCAATGTGACCAATTTTAAAAATTCTCTCATTTAATCTAGTTTGATATGATGTTATTATATTTGTACTATGATACCAGTCCTAGCCTGCTGATCAGCCAGCATAACTAGCTATAACCTTACCTAACATGTAGCCTTAAAACTTAATTTTGAAGCAATTTTTAAGAAGAAGGATCCTGGGAATTAGTCTCTGCAGCAAAAACAATTAAGTGTTTTGTCACACCTTAATGACTAACAATGTTTATTTAGCACAAGCTTTTGTGGGCTGCAGCCTGCTTCATAAGAGCCATATCCATCAAGCCTTCATCAGATTTTTTAGTTCAAAAAATTAGATACTGTACCTTGTTAAGTTTGCCAAGAGAAGATATAAGATCTGCCCATTCACTTGAAGATTCAAAGTTCCTCAAAGCTTTATCAATTGCTGAAGAATAATTTCTGTATCTATAATCACCAAGTAACTCCTGCTCCTCGGGATCCATTTTAAATGTTCATAGCAAAAAAGCTTCTTGAGAACTAAAAGCAAGCAAACAAAAAACAGATAAGAGTCCCAACGGCATCTGACATATTGAAATCTTTGTTAGAAGTATCAGTTAATATACCCCTTTAGAAGCATTAATGTTCTATATTCAGAATGCTCTCAAGTTATAAAAAATGATTCATTTTACTTTCATAGAAGCCTAGAAGTTCAAATCTACTCATCAGTTATTTCACTGAAAACATTCGAGCAGCAAAAATATTAAGCACAAAGCATACATTCATTTACTTTCTACAATAACACCATTACTCCAAATGCTATGTGAAATATCACATGTATTAACAATATGTTTTTTTGCAGTTTGTCAACCAACAGGTTCACACACAGTTAGTCATCCATCCCACTGCACGACTGGATGATTATGAGTATGCAACATTTGACCAACTGGCTCCTATTGGATGTACAGTTGCTGTTATGCAACCACATGATGGAACAGGATTCTGGATGCAAATTAACAATGTAAGTAGCATAAATATTTACCAAAGCACAATTCCAGATTTCATATTATCTAATTTGCTAAAAGCAAAGCACTGAAGGTTTCTCTGGAAAGCCACTACTATATTTTACATTGCTTCCCTTGAATCAAAAGATATGGCAAAATGATTACAATGGATTTTGGGCGGTTCAGGTTCAAACCTCATTGATTCAAGAAATTCAACAGATACTCTTTCTCAACCTAACTGAAGCATATTACCTTTCTCACTGTATTTTAATTTTATAAACAGTTAAAAAAAGAGTTCTGATTCTTTCAGCGATCTAATTGTCAGTCAACTGGAATTATTTGCATGCATGAAGACACAGGTAAGAGGCAGGTACTGAATATATCCATCAAGCCTTAGTGACCAAGTTAACAATTAACTCTTAATGAAAGCAAAACCAAACATAAATTAGAGAGGCAGCTTAATTGCAAGAACATACAGTAGCAGGTTCTGGTTTAGCTGAAGAATTTGAATACTGAACATTGGACCTCCCAGTGGAGTTCAATACAATCCATTGCAACTTTCTGGAATGCCTGAAAGAGATGTGGCTTTGGAGGACTATTTTACAGTGATTTCAGTCCTTTCTTAAGGGCCAGTTCCAAAAGCTGGTGTTCTCATTTGACACCTTATTTGTTGACCAAGGAAATCCAAAACGGTGCTGCCTGGTCCCTAAAACTACTAGTATCTTTAGAGCAGCCACATAAAAAAACTGAAAGAGATCATTCTGAGAACCAAGAATAGGAAGATGTCATACTGCTCTTGGGCCTTTTCTACCTCCTTCCAAGCAAGTTGATGATATCATTCTGGACTAGGAGAGAACTTAATCCAGATAAGAGATATTCTTTGGTAGCATTATGGCAAATCATGGAATAGGAGTCAAATCTGTGTCAAACTTTCCAAAAGATGTACATTCACTATTTGGCTATGCTCCTGGATCCACATCTGAACTCTGATTAAATTGATACATCACTGTAGTTACATCTCAGCTATATTACTGTACCACAAAGTATTTATGCTGGATGACCCTGAACGTGCCCATAATCCATTAGAATCCTGCAGGAAGATATCTTATTAGAGATGGAAGCTGGAGATATACAACTCCTTGTTACAACAACATCAGTGGCTTTAAATTCATTTCTAACAAAGTTTAAAGTGGTATTTCTGAATATCTTTAAAGACCTAAATAGATCAGGATCAGGTTGGAATTCCCTTCCCCAACATAGATCTGATCAAGTTTGTACCCCCCCCCAACATCTGAGATATCTATTGTTTTATATATTTATTTAATTCAACTTGTACGCCGCCCGCACCTTGCAAGGGTCTCTGGGTGGATTCCAACATCAATTAAAACAGTTCAGTTGAAACAAACACACTAAAAGCCAATACGGTTACATCTATATTTTACAAAAGCAAAAATAAAACAAAAACAATCTAGAGCCATAACTCTTATCAGTTAAAATTAAAAACCTTCAATTAAAAAAACTATGTGCAGGCTTCAATCCCCCTTTCTAGGGACACCAATCAAATCCTCCCCTTTGATGGCATTCCTCTGGCAAGCAAAGCCCTTGCTCATTCACACACACACACACACACACCTTGAAATGAGCAGGCTGCAGATTTTAATTTTTCTTGGTTTTGCTTAGTTGGTTTGTGAGTTATTATATGCCTCTTTTATTAGTGTAGAATACTGTTAACAGTAATGCACAATACTGGATGTCCATCGTAGACAGAAATGACAAGCATTCATGTAATAAATACATCAGCAGTCTTTTAATACTGTAATCTGATCGCATTAGCTGAATCAGCAGTGATACAAACTCTTATATCCATTAGTACAGCATATCCAATCCAAAATTCTTTGTCTTTAGCTTAGATAGATTATTTTACTAAGCTTAGAGATAACATGGTGGCAACTTTTTAAAATAAATTCAATGTATAATAATGACATATCCACCTGCTGTTTAATATCTATATGAGGCCGCTGGGTGGGGTCATTGGAGGTGTGGGGCATTGTGCCATCAGTATGCTGATGACACTCAGCTCTACATCTCCTTTTCTCCAACCACAGTGGATGCTGTTCTGTCCCTCCAGCGCTGTTTGGAGGCTGTACTGCAATGGATGCAGGAAAATGGGCTGAGGCTGAACCCAGACAAGACGGAGGTCCTGAGGGTGGGTGGCCCCACTATCGGTGGTTTGGGAAACTCCCTCTCTTTTTTGGGGAGGTGACTCTTACTGAGAAGAGTGGGGTTTGCAGCTTGGGGATACATCTGGACCCGGCACTCACCATGGAAACTCAGGTGGCGCCAGTGGTCAGCTCCACCTATTTCCATCTTTGGCAGATTGCCCAGTTGTGTCCCTATCTTGATGTTGGGGTGCTCACCACTCTGGTCCATGTGCTTGTAAACTTGAGATTAGACCACTGTAATGCGCTGTATGTGGGGCTACCTTTGAGATTGGTGCAGAATGGTGCAGAATGCAGCGGCCAGACTCCTCAGTAGGGTGAGAAAATAATAACATATTGCATTGGCTGCCCGTTCACTTCCGCAGCAATTTCAAAGTAATAATGATTACATATAAAGCCCAAAACAGTTTAGGACCTTGATACTTGGCAGAACACCTCCCACCTAGATCTACTCGTATCACTCATTCTAGCCAGGAGGGGCAACTGAGGAACCTAACGCTGAGGGAGGTACGGAAAGTAAAAACAAGAAACCGGGCCTTCTTGGCGGTGGCTCCCTGTCTTTGGAACAATCTCCCCTCCGAGATTCATTTAGCCCCTTCACTGGGCATTTTCAAAAGCCAACTTAAGACCTAGCTATTCAGACAGGCCTTCCCTCCGGGCACCACTTAATTTCTTCTGATTCTCCATCTTGAATGATTATTAATTGCTGTAAATTGTGGTAAAATTGTCTTATATGTCAATTGTTTTTACTTTGATTATTGTGAGCCGCCCAAAGTAGACCAAGTCTAGATGGGCGGCACATAAGTCAAACAAACAAACAAACAAATATCAAAAGTTATCCCACCTGGACAATTCCAGAATTCCTGAAAGAATCTTTTCAGTCTTATTCTGCATTAATATCATTGCCAGTGTTGCTATTATTACACATTTCTGGGCATAGCTGCAATTCTTACCTTATTTACCATAAAAATAATATCAACTAGAAATCTTTGATACAAAAGCAAGCTACACATGGCCTCCAAGCACACTTCACAGCTGAACTGGTACCTGAGACCATGTACATTCAATGGCATAACATTCTCTGTTTCACCCCACTACTTTAAAGAGGAGTGGAATGAGTATCTATATCTTTCCGAAGGCAAGCTGCACAGTCCCTATGGAAACAGAGAAGTGTATATTGTGTATACTTTGAAACCAATTTTAAATTTTGCACTGTAAGCTACCCAAAGTATTTCTAACAAAAATGCTTAAACTACCTCCCTATATCACAAGTACTGTATAGTGCACAGAGCAGTAATTTTACATCTGAATATATTCATAGAAGAGTGCATATACACACAAGTGAAAATGCTTATGGTCTGGTGATGCATTGGGAAACTGCCTCACCACCCTATACTAATGCTGCAGAAACAAAGAAAGATTAAGGCATTCAGGAGTGGATTTTTAATTGGAGGGACTAGGAGATCAGAACAAATTCCTGGCCGCAGAATTATTTAATGCATGGATCAAACAAAAAGTCTATTTAGACTTTGGCTCCTACAGTGGCTAGCCAGATGCCTGTGGGAAGCTCACCAGTCTGACATGAGAGCAACAGCACCCTGCCATGTGTGTTTTTATTTATTTATTTAATTTATACCCCGCCTATCTGGTCGGTGAGGAGAGGCACTGAGAGGCATATTGTCTCTGATACTGGATACTGGAAGTAACAAAGAGCCCTCATGACTAGTAGCCACTGACAAACTAGTCTCCCTTTTTGCTCCCCTTTTCTAAGTACTGTATGCCTTTTGCACTGTGCTACACATGAGATATCTCAGAGACTTCATTGTAAACCAACAGATCCCGCAAACAAGACATCTGCTACTCTTGCTGTAGAAATAGCTCTCTGAACAACTACATTCTTACAAACAACTCCTGGCCAGCAAGCAGAAGCTATTACTAAAGAGCTACAAGGAAAGACAATTGGATGAGGCAACATTAGAAGAAGCATATGTAACGAAGTGGGAATCTACCCCAAAACCAGTTGAAATGTCTTCGCTCTGAAAGCATGATGGACTTTTTGGGAAGCCTGCTTGCATCAGTGATGATATTCGCAACTGTAAGTACTCTGATCTGAATAATTACCAGCAACCTGGCAACTCAATACAGGCAAATAGGCTTTAATATGACTCCTAAGCCTCAAACAGTAAAAGGAAAATGTTCAGCAATTCTTAAATCAAATGCAGCGCTGTGGTACGAGAAGTTGCACCTGCCAGAATTCTTCCTTTCTTGGGGCAATTCAAGAGTCACATAACATCTAAAAAACAACAATTCCATCTTCTCTAGCCCGCAAAATGCACAGGAATCCTGGAGTTAGTGACCCAACACAGGACTAGTAGGGTCTCCCTCTGGATAAATATCCATGTATATAAGAAGAAACTCAGAACAAAACAAAACCCAAATACTGTATCTGACAGCTGCTTCTAAAACAGAGTCACATGAGAGACTTCTATAATAGTAGACAGTCAGTATGATACTATTTGATACGGCCCATGGACTGATTCAAATAAAATGAGAGTGAGTGACATTAATCCAAATACTATTATAACCCACTTGGCACTGCCTCTCCTCCTCTCCATGTTGCTTTGTAGAAGAGGGAAACACTGCAACGTGTGGCAGTGAGGCACAGCCCTTCAGATGTCAGCCTAGCTTTATTGAATCTCTGTTTTATTATGTCTAAAATAATTTCTCTTAGCTCAAGACAGCCTCTGTTTCCCTTCTCCCTTTTACATCAGCTGTGCTGACCCAGGTAAGGAATGTGACTGCATTAACTAAGGAATACTCTAGCAGCTTTTCTCTCCTTGTTTTTGACAGGGAAGGCAAAGGCAGGGAGCGATTGCTGTGTAACGCTACCAGCTTAATAGCTGGTACCAACACCCAGCAATAGTAGCAGTGAGGCAGAATACAACCTGTAGGATACCAGGAATGGCGATATACACAAATTGCATCTCACATACACACAAGATGTAATTTGTTTATGTACACCACACAACGAATTGTGTCTACATATATACATACATATCCATAGCTGAGAAAGTGGGAAGCCTGCAACCTAGTTGTATTGGTCTGTTTTTCTCCTCTTCAGGTGCAATTCAGAAAAAAGAGTAAGTATATTCCCTTTAGAACATAACCTCATTTATCGGAGATCAGCAACCTAGCACCCTCAGATGTTTTGGGCGAGAATAATCCAAAACCATTTGCTTTCCCTTGTTATCTGTCACAAAGTGAGGGCATGCTTCGAAGAAAGGTGCTTTGTTCCGTCCTTCCACCAGCCTAAGATGAACACACCTGAAGGAGAGGAAGGGGCGGCTTCGGCTCTTTCCAGGGCGAGCAAAATTACCCCCTTAGCAGCTCCCACGCAATATCCTCCCCACCACCGCCGCCGCCCAGAGAAGGGAAGGAGAGAAATGCAAAGAGGAGGCACTGCAGACCAGATGAAATGCCCCCCCCCCACTGCTAAGGCAAGCGGCAAGCACCCCTCCATCTTCTCTGCTCCCCACCTGAGGAAGAAGGTAAGGGCGGAACGCCCTGCTGCTCCCCCCGAGACGAAAGGCACTGCCGCAGTTCGTCCTGCAGCCGCCCTCCCGCTGCTACGACGTGTCCCACGCCTGGGCGGGTCCGAAGCAGAACCCGAAGTCAAAGGCAAGGGAGGAGGAAGCCGGCCGTGGGGGGAGGACAGGAGCTCTCGTTATTTATTTGCCCTTCCTCCCGCAGCCAGCTGGGGAGGTACCAAGTTGAAGAGCGGCGCTGGGGAAACACGGAGGAAGGAGCAATGGCAGCCGGGGCGAACTCGTCCCGTCTTCAGCGTCTCCCTTCTCAGGGATATAAATTCGGTGACTTACACGGAGTTGCTTGGCGTCACAGGGACGCTTAAGTCCACCCCCGGGGAGATGGTACGTTCCGGCAGCGTGTGTGCGGGCTCGTCGCTTAGCGCCACTTGCTGGCAAAAGCCGGCACTCGCCGCCCAAGAGGGAGGCTTCCTTTTTGATGAAATCGCCGTCATCTTTAGTGCCTTCCCGCTGCGGTCAGATAGGAAACGCCAGATTAGATAATTAAATGTACTAGGCTTTAATTTGAACCTTAATAAGATTCTCAGCACTTAAATTATCGTGAATAATACATCGTTAAATGAAAGGGTGCGAACTGGTGAATCATTTGCTGCTTTCAAAACCCTGACAGCTCCTGCCACCCGGGGGTCAGGGTTGTGTTTGTGTGGGTACCTCCCCCTCCCCTCTTCGGTTCCAATCGAGGACATCGGTTCTACAGTACTGTATATCATGTAAAAATTAACACCTAGTGAAGGCCAATTCTGGATCCATTCTGCTAGAGGAAAGGGTCAGCAGAGAGAGTCTGGCGAATTGCCCCTATGGAGAACATCATACCAACTCAGAAGAAAAAGAGAATTTAAACTGCTAACTTTATAACAATGTGGAATCTCATTCAATTCATAAAAGACAAGGCTCCAGTATACGAACTGCACGTGACACACTCGGATCTTTGGATATATATTTTTAAAAGCTAGAATAACAATGTGATCAAGTGATTTTGATCGCTCTCTTCTACTTCTGCTTTCTGAGATGTGTTTTGTGTTTTACAATAAATTGTGTTAATAAAACTCAGTAACACAGACTTCTTAAGTGAAACAGTGGAAGAATGTTATTGTTTATTCAATAGATGATGGCAGTGATTATGTTATACAGTGCATATAGTTCCATTTTTAAAGCTGAAGTAAGTAGACCATCCGGTTATTCAAGAGTAAAAGACACTTGGAATGCAAGGGTAAAAGGGCTGCAATATCACAGGGTTCATATGGGCAGTACAGGTGTAGGGGAGGGAATGTTACAATGGACCACATAGGAATGTGTGTTTAATCAGGATATGAAGCTGTAAATATCTTTGAGTGAGCCTTATCTGTGCATGGTCCAAATAAAAAGGTAGACCAAATCCAAATTACAGATTATTTCTTTCCCACAATGTGAATTATTCAATTTAACAAGGTTATGGATACACAATAGCACGTTATGTTTCATATTTCATAGACTGTCCTGAAACCAAGACCATCTGAAAAGAGATTCTAAAAGATATCTTTGTGATGTAAGGAGCTCTGATTGAGTAGACTATTTCAGTAACAGCAACACAACATTTGACTGCTTCCTACAAAAAGGGCACAAGATTCATAAAATGTATACAATTATCTAATGGAATAATATCGAAATACATGGAATATATTAGTCAAATCAATATACAGTATTGCATTTAATTTCTTCTGCAGAGTAGTTTTACAAGAAGAACTGCATCTTCACACGGAAGGGGGATGAAGTTAATTTCAATTCAGTTTAATTGTATGTTTTATTAATATTTTTATCCTGCCCAACTAATGGCAGAGTCACTACTCTTTACTATTTAGAGATGCATTCATAAGACAAGGAAAACATGAGACACACAGAGTATTGTTCAAAATGAAATCAAAATACAACTGCACGTGTATAGTAAGAAAATTAAAAAGAAGCAGCTGAAATATCCTTACATTTGCTGTTTCACAAGTCTGAACAGCACAATAGATAAATCTGGGAAAATATTTCCATTATTGCTTTACCAGTACTTAACCCTTTAAAAAAACCCCGTAAGATACATTTCAAAAGCTCCTTCTGTATATTTTAACAAACCGGGCATAAGTAATATATTTTTGTAAGGTAAATGTAAAGGTTCCCCTTGACATTTAGTCAGTCGTGTTCGACTCTAGGGGGCGGTGCTCATCCCGGTTTCCAAGCTGTAGATCCAGCGTTTGTCCAAAGACAGTTTCTGTTGTCACATGGCCAGTGTGACTTAGACCCAGAATGCTGTTTCCCTTCCCACCGAGATGGTACCTATTTATCTACTCGCATTTACATGCTTTTGAACTGCTCGGTTGGCAAGGAGCTGGGACAAAGCGACGGAAGCTCACTCCGTCGCATGGATTCGATCTTATGACTGCTGGTCTTCTGACCCTGCAGCATACAAAGGCTTCTGCGGTTTAGCCTGCAGCGCCACCACGTCCCCATTTTTGTAAGAGTGACATACAAAAAATACATGTAAAAGGGAAGAACAAAAGGCAATGATCTGGTGTGGAGTTATGCACCAACAACTTTGGGAACAGCGGGCCTAAAATAGAGGGTTTGGTGTGTTTCAGACAGTCATGTACTTTTTCAAGTGTGGGGAAGAGTTGCCTCCAAATAGCATTTTGCACCAGACAAGGAATCATCTGCCAGACCCCTCTAATTGCTAAAGTAGCAGCTCCACTTAGAGGACAATTGAGAGATGCACATGCTGTGTAGGTAATTTTTTCCAGCTGGTAATTTAGTTTCAAGATATATATCCAGGCAAGAAGCCAGAAGAATCTTGTTCCCAGTGATTACACCAGTGATGCACTGAAGTTCTAACATGAACAGACTGACTGATTAGAATTGCAAAATACAATACTGTACTTGATTCGTCCTCCTTCTGCAAACAGAGCAGCAGGTATTATTATTTCTTCATGGTGCACCAACAATGCAAAAGGTGGAAAAAATAGAAAAGGAGAGGAAGATAGTCCTTGATTCTGTTGTGACCTACCCAGCTAAAGCCTGCACAGGAACACATTCATCCATCCAGGTATACATAATCCTGATAGTGATAATAAAAAATAAACTTTTTATTACGGTCATTGACCAGCAAAAGTAAGGAATACTGTACTATTTAAATAAGGAGACATAAAAATCTATCTAAAAACACTAAAAACGACTATATAAATCTATATAAATCTACATTCATGCATCTTATTAAATATCTCCTGCCTCCCTATCACAGGCCTTATCTATGGGCTATTTATTTCAGCTTGCATAGAATGACAGCATTGTTACTTTGAAGCTCATAGAGCCCGTGTGATCATTAAGGCCTCTACATATATAAACCAATTTACAGATACTATAGCTGTGCTTTAGGTGGAACCTTTCCTTCATGGATTTTGATCGCAGAAGCACAGAGTTTAGCTACTTTAGTCAGCATATCTGAATTTTGATTTAGCCCAATATATCTGCCAGGGCATCGCCCTGTCAGCAAAAGCAGTGTGTAATGTGCCTGTGATCGTCCAGGAAATGCCCTTATGTAAGGACTTCTCAAATGCCAGAATAAAAAGCACAGTGAAGTAACACATGGGAGATAGATTCAATCTCACTGGAGTTACAGGGGCATATATGCCAATCCTGATAGTGTAACGCAAAAATGTAAGCTGATTATTTAAAAAAATAATAGTGGCTAGCCTGAAAGTGAAACAGCACGCTGACTGTACCCTGCCTAAACACAAAATAGCTGTCTCAGCAATTGCAGAGGGCTAGGGAGACTCCAGTGACCTCACTCCGAGTCCTCCTCAGAGTCTTGGCAGGAGAGCTCTGCAGCTTCCTCAGTAGTTCTACTGGTGTTACCATTTAACAGACTTTTGTTGCAACTTTCCTTTGAACAGAATCAAAGGAAGATTTCAACCCACAAGGGATGCACGTAGGCCATGAGTAAAATATTTCTCAAGCAGATAACCTAACGTAATGGAGTGGTCAAGTGCTTGCCTAGGTTTGCTAAAACCAGTGGCAGCTGCTCTCCATTGTGGTTCAGTAGGCTGGAAGACACAGCAACCAATAACAGGTGGAGTCAGGGCACAAATAAGCATTCACACACAGAGAGAAACATGGTCACCCAGAGGCAGGCAAGAGTCTAATGCAGTGGTTCTTAACCTTTGTTACTCAGATGCTTTTCAACTGCAACTCCCAGAAACCCCAGTCAGCACAGCAGGTGGTGAAGGCTTCTGGGAGATGCAGTCCAAAACTCCTGAGTAACCCAAGGTTAAGAACCAGTGGTCTAATGGATGGGGTAGCTTAAGCCTGAGGTAGGGCAGGGTCTCATTTATCCTCAAGGACCAGCTACCACTGACAATGGACCAGGATAAGCGGGAAAGATAAGGAGTTATGACTGCAGGATAGCTCAGTGGTTTAGGTCTCTGGCTGAGGTTGGGAGTTCGATTCCCCACTGTAACTATTTGACAGAGACTAGACTTGAAGATCTAAAGGGTCCCTTCCAGCTCTGTCGTTCTAAAATTATGATAATGAGTTTGCATATTTTCAACCTTTGGTGATAAATTAACAAGTCAGTAATTAAACAGGACACTTCAGTCAGTTTCTGATAAAAAGGAATTCTAATAGTTTCAGCCAAAAATGAAGATAATTGACCAATCTTATTAATCTGAATGATCGAAGTGGCCAATAGAGGCACACACCACACAGCATTCACTTTCAAAAGTTCAGGTATTACTGAGGCTTTTCCTGGGTTTTAACTTGGAAACTAGTGACTTAATTTCAAGCTCAAATGAATCTCTCTGGGAAGTAACAATACACTGATTAAGGAGGAATTCAAGAAAAAATTGGACAACCATCTGTCAGATCTGCTTCGGTTTGGATTCCTGCACTGAGCAAGGGGTTGGACTCAATGGCCTTATAAGCCCCTTCGAACTGAACTGTTCTACAATGCTTTAAGAATATCATCAATTACTGGTTCTATAATTTCTAAAGTATTCAGTATTCTAAAATATTGGAGAAACAGGATTTCTAAATATTGGCTGGACTATTTCATGCAACCTCATTGAATGCAACAGAAACTACTGATCAGAATAATATGTAATTGTTCAAAGAATGAAGGAAAAAGATCATCAAGGGCAGTTGTTAATAGCTCAATAGACAGCAGCAAATCTGATAAACTGTTTATTAGCAGTTTCCACCCATAAATCTAGGATTAGGAGCACAGATTCCTGACAAAAACTGAAGCACTTGCTCTCCTTTAAAAACTAAGGCTGGAGGCAACAATAGAGATATGACGAAGAACATATAGTATGTTTAGTGTTTAAAGTGCTACTTTCTCTCCCCCCCCTTTATTTTGTTAACATATAAGACAGGGTAATATGGCTGCTTGTTTGGAAAGGCATAGGGTGTTGGACACATAAAACTCTGTACCCTACACTGTGTTTCCAATGCACAATTCTTAAAATGTCATCATTACAGCTGATTACTCAGTACTGGAGTTACTAATTGGAAAGATCTAAAAGAAGAATCTCCACTTAATCTTCTGTTATCAAAACCTGCACGCATTCAGAAGCAATAGCAATATAGGAGATAAATGGGCTTATCTCAGGAAGAAGCTCACCACGGTTGAACAGTTTTATCACTAACAAATTGGCCATGAGGCCCATTAGCTCCAGGAGGTAAAAGGGCCAAATAAACTGGAGTCTCAGCTCCTTCATCTGGTGATTTGGTGGCTCTTGGGCCTGCCATGTCTGTCCTGACCCACCCAGGACAGCAGGCATTGAGGAGGATACCATCCCCTTTCCGTGTTTCATTCAACATCCGTGCTTGAATTCGGGACAGAACCGTCACTCCGATTTTGGAAACACCATAAGCAGTATTGGGCCAGCCCTCCTTCTCATGCACCCCCTTCTTGGCGTCTTGTACAAATTTTTCCATGAGTTTCACTAGCTCTTCTTCCGTGATTGTGTTGCTACGAAACTTCTCCTGCAGATCTTGGCTGCATTTGGGAAGAGCCCGAACACTTACCACACTGGATACATTCACTACCCTTCCTGTGACAAAGAACAGCAACACAATCCATCATTAAGAAAATTGTGCAAAGAACAAGAACAACAACAGGTAGAAATAATAATTAGCACATGAAATCACTAAGAATAAATTACACAGGAATTAGCATACATATAAACAGAAACACTTCTACTAATATCTTGAGGAAGTTCTAAGAAAAAAAAAAGACTGATGACAAATCCAAAGAGTAGGACACACAATTTTAGCATTTACTTTTCTTCAAGCTATCTCACTAGCATCTTAAACAGATATACACTTTAATGAAAAGTACTGTTACAACCATAACAAGCTGAAATATTTGGGGATGTTATCTAGTTTATCAGTTTATTTATTTATATGCCAGCTTTCTCAACATATGGGACCCAAGGCAGCTCACAGCAACTGCAACTGTAAATCAATAGTTTAAAAAAATATTATATACAAATATGTTTTTAAAAATTAAACATATAGCAAGATTAAAAATAAATTTAAAAAACATATAAAAATCTATAAGTTAATTAATAACACATTCCTGAGACACATTACTGCTTAAAAGCCTGACTGAAGGGGAAGGTCATACACCATAATGCCAGCAATTTCACTCACTTCATAAAATGACTCAGCATTTTAGGAGTTGGGTAGATTGTCTGATCTTGCAACATTGTATTATAGGGGAAAAAAGGATTGTCCTAATATACTGCAACCCTACTCAGACATTTTTATGGAGGTACTAAATGTGTAAACTTGGGCCAGTGGGAAAATGCAATGCAACCTTTCCTGCATTGAGCATCTCCTGTGTATCCTCATCTGCCCTTTCATATATCCAGTAATCAGTGCCTAAATAAGGTTCCTATTGTTGTTCCTTCACTAAATGCCTGTGAAAAGACCTCCATTATTGTGAGCGATCCTGTAACAGCTGAAAAATGGCCAAAGCACAGCAGTCTGTCATTGGGATGCGTGTAGACCATCTCAGGTGTCATCCACACACATTTTGTTTAGATATGCCAGCGATCACTGTTTTGAAGACCCTAACATGAAGACTTTGAACAGTATAGCGATCTTCATATTCATCTCCCCCTGTCTTACAGAGGTCTTTGCTAATACTCTATCTCCTAAGAATAAGAAATTGCTGTACTGTTTCTTCACCCTTTGTTACTACTAGATCAATATGCAGAACTTACCTTGCGGTTTTATGAGTGGTAATAATTCATTGCAAATATTTCTGGTTGCAAAGAAGTTTGTTTTCATGGTCACTTCTGCTTGTACTTGAAATGGTGTGGTGTCCTCCACTTTTTATGATGGCAAAGAAATGAAAATGCAGAAATACAAGAGTTATTCAGAAGTACGTTCCTCTGCAAATGCGTTATCTCAATCAACTCCCAGATACTGTATCAGGATACTAGTACAGTACATCGCTATACAATACTAATTCAGGTTCTTTCTTGCATTGTACCATTTTTTTATCCTGAACAGTAACTGAGCATAACTGGGACAATTCAGCTTCCTGTCTTTGCTCACAACCAGTATTCATGATGTACAATGCACAGGATGCTTCCAGGATGATTGGTGGTCACAATATTTGTGAGTACCTTCTAGCCTCCAGTGGAAATGTAAAATGTAAAAAATAAAAATAAAAATCGTTTCTACCAGATGCTAGTTACCTGTGCTTTGCAGCTGTGTATTATTTTGATTAATTTTTACCAAATACACATCCGAGACCCTTTCAAGCTTCTTCTGACACTGAAGGAGCCTTTGCATGTAGACAGAAAGATCAAGCTCATGTCTATCGTACTGGGTGTGATAACTGCTGATGAGTACATGTACTCATGACCATATTTCTTAAACTAAATTACTTCTACTTTTTCCTGGAATGAACCATTTTCTGTGTAAGAAAACAACAGTGTATGAGGTGGCCTTGAACTTCAAAAGAAAACAACGCTCATCAAGATCATGAAGTGCATAGCAGATATGGCTGCAGGCACCTTTATGCTGCTTAAAGTACAAATACAACATTCAGTCCTGCTGTTCCATCACAATTGTACACATCATTAATTATTACTGCTATTAATTATAGCAGCAGCACCTGTTCTTGTGCTAGGTTCAGTTCCCAAAATATGTGCAATGAGATAGAGGAGGTTCCCTCTTCAGGTGCAAAGACTATTTCTCACACTCTTTAGAATCCATGGTGAGTCCACCCTCATCAGAAGTGGAAGATCAGGCAGTGGTTTTTCCACAAAAAGAATATTACTACTACTGTTGTTGTTATGAGTCATTTCTGACTTATGGCAACTGTAAGAACTAAGGATCTCCGCAAGGGTCTGTTCCCAATAGCCCTGCTCTGTTCTTGCGGACTCAAGGCTGTGGTCCCTTTATTGAGTCAAGCAATCTCCTGTTTAGTCTTCCTCTTTTCCTGCCTTATTGTCTTTCCCCGTGATTCTTGTCTTCTCTGGATAGCTTCAATTTAATCATACTACTACTAGTAGTAGTACTTCCAAACACTATTATTGCAAGCGTCACTTACCTTTGAAAGCAATTCCTGCATTGTTGACTAGCACATTCAATCCCCCATACTTTTCCTTTAGGAAATCCCGAAGAGCTCGGATACTCTGAAGATCATTGATGTCCAGCTGGTGAAACAGGGGCTTCAGTCCTTCCTCCTGCAGCTTGGCCACGGCTGCCTTGCCCCGTTCCACATCCCGGGCTGTCAGGTAGACGTCCCCAGTGAACTGTTTGCACAGAGCCCGCACAATGGCAAACCCAATGCCTTTGTTGGATCCGGTTACCACGGCAACAGCAGGGGTTGACATTCTCTCTACCAAGCGAATACCGATCAGGAAAACGTTTTAGCAACACCCCAGGCACACAATTCCACCTCCTTCCATTCCTCCCTCCAACCAGAGCAAATAAATATTTTCGATGTCACCTCGTTGTGGCGACACAGATGAATTTGCTGTAGAAGAAAATCATCAATATCATCAGATCTGGGCGCGTCCCAGTTAGCCAACTGCAGGCAAAGGACCACATCCTTGCGCCGTAAGCGATCCCCACCCACCCCTTTTCTGCCTGCATACGAGAGCCCTCGGCGTCAGGGGCATAAAACAGTAAGTTGTGCATGTGCACGTGGATATATACAAAATATAGAAAAAAAATACACTCCTCTCTCTCTTTCTGTTTTGTGTGTGTGTGTGTGTGTGTGTGTGTGTGTGTAGGTACGAACGAGTAATGGCTTGCAGCTCGTGGTGTTGGATCCTCTGTGCCCTGGACCTATCGCCCCTCCCGACTCACGTTTGAACAGGTAGCACCGTCTGTGAATACAGTAACAGGAGTGCCTGATCCGAGAACACCGGCGACCCCCAACTCACCTTCTTGCCTTTAGAACGTGCACAAGGAACCAAAGTTCAGCCGAAGAAAGAGCGAATCTTGCCTCTGACTTGATCTGCGGGGTGTTATCGGTCGTCGAAGCTTTAAACCCTGCTGCGCATGCTCTGTGAAGGGTAGGATGCTGTTTTTGCAAAAAAGGGCGGTTAGGCCCGCCTTTTTGGCAAATTTCCCGAGACCCAAAGGACAAAAGTCGTCCTGTGTAGCCTGCGGGAGAAGAGAGCACCGCTGAATAATAAGAGAGAGCAGGAGCACGTGACGGCCTGTTCCTTGATGCTTTTCCTCTGGGTGTTATCTTTGATTCATTGTTTGCTTATGGAACAGTCTGATAATTAGGTTACCCATTTACTGTAGGTTAGGGATCTCTGATACTAACTAACCTAAGGTGCTGCATAAAGTTCACACAAGCAAGCCACAAACTGCATGTAGGAATAACGCACTGTATAAATAGTGTATATGATCCAGCATGGGGGAGATTTTTGGAAGGACAGAGGAAGCTTTGCGGAGCTCCTGTAACTTAATGGCGTAAGAATTTGAAAATTATCTAGGTGTGTCACAAGGAGAACAGTGAAATCGGAAATATGTATGCTCTGAAATAATTAAGCTACACCTGCAGAGACTTGCTCTCCAGAAGCAGAACTGCTGAACTTCAAGCCTATACTCTTTTTGTGCAATGTAGTTTAACCCTTACACAAATGACGTAAGAGACTGGGATGGAGGGGGGGGGGTTGTATTTAGGAAGCTAAAAGGATAGCATAATTCTTAGATTTTGGACTAGAACTCAGAAGACCTGTCCTTCCAGGGCATGAAAAGTCCTGGGTGGCTTTGGACCAGTTACACAAGCTTGTTGTGCAGATAAACTGGAGACTTGGGTAAGGTGTAAAAGTCCTGGGTGGCTTTGGACCAGTTACCAGAAGCTTGTTGTGCAGATAAACTGGAGAAGAGGAGACTTGGATAAGGTGTCTTCAGTTCACTGGAGGAAAGGCAGAATGGGAGTTGTGCCATTGTTTTATATGGGACAAGCTGTTGGGCAGAAGAAAAATGTAAACAAAATTTACCCTCATCCCCCCCGCCTCTTCTGGGAAGAGGCTTTCCGTTTGGCTTTTCTTTTAAGTGATATGTTCTGCTCTGATACAATTCTTTTTAAAAATTCACTTCCTCATCCCCTTCACAGAGGCAAGGAAGTGCTTAATTGGCTCTCTCCTTAAGACACTTCACAATATAGGCAAATGGACATCGGGCCAAATAGGCTTCCTTGAGGTCCATATGCCATTTCAAGATGAGGACTGCACCAAATGGCATACTGGATTGCTTAGTGACTCTAGGTAGCCTGATCCAGCCCACTTAAAAACATGTATGCAGACAAGCCCCTGTCTCTTTCAAGGAGAACAGGATTTGAAAGAGCTACAATACAGAGCTGGTGGCAGTGGCAAAAGATCCAAATACAAAACAAAACTCCCAGAGGATAAATACAATAAAATGTTGTAATTTTACAAGCCTGCATACAGCCTGTAGTTTGTATGACTGTGAGGGACCTTTCTGAGTTATTGTCAATCACTTAAGCAATCATTTCCTCCTGCCTCAGAATTCAAAGAGAGTCCTGCCTCTCTGCTGTATTTCCCTCTCTTTTGTCTGTTGAAGTCAGTTATTTCTTCATTGTTTAGTTTGCTGTTCTGTTCACAATTGTAAGTAATGAAACATTCTTATTTTTTCTACTACTAATGTCTCAGCTTGTGTGTTAGTTAATGAGAAAGGGGTAGACTGAGGAATGTGAAGCTATTCTCATCTGAGTCTTCATGCTTTAGCTGTGTATCGAAAGGAAACTTTTAAAATTCATAACTCTGCAATATAAAAGTGGGAGGCAGCAAGCATAAACACATTGTTCATAAAGTGTGGAGGTATGCAGACTAAGCTGATTAAGAGTGACAGGGCAATAACTGGGAGAAAAGTCAACTTTTTTTTAAAGGAGAGATAACAGCATTTTCAAAGTTTTGCATGGGCCTGGATCGCTGGTGTGCAGACTTGCTAACAATTTATTGAAAAGTAATTTTTAATGCAACAAATGAAACATATTTAGTACTAACATTAACAACAATGAATTAATTTGGGATCTTATTAAAAGTGATTAAACAAACTATGTTTTAAGCAGATATTAAGCAGAACGTGACTGGTCTGGTTTAACTGAATCTGGCAACTAGCCCTAACAGACAAACTAATACAACCTGGCCAAGGGAAGACTCAAAGAGACCTTTGTCTGAACTGAGTACTGTATACAGAGTAGTCCAGGATTCCGTCACGCTCAGATGCTGTTCTGTTTTAATACAGTTTTCAGAAAGACTTTAATTCCATAATGGCTGGAAAAACCCCAGTTAACAGTAAAACACGAACCACACAAATTCATTATGCTTAAATTCTTTATTGCTTATTTTATTATGTTTTCAAAAGACAGTAGAAAATATTTGCAAAAAAAACAAAGTACAAATATGAATCCTTTATTGCTTTACAGCCAGTTAGGCCTGTATGTAACAGAAACAAACCACTCTTCAAAAAAGAGAAAGTAGAAAGAATAGAGATATGGTCAAATACAAATTGAAAAAAATTCTAAATTTTTTCAACCTAAGCGTCATAGAACTCCATAGCATGGTTTTGGTCTAAAATTATTAACTGTATTAATTTTAATTTTCATATATCATTAGCCACATGTTGTATTTTAAATTCCTCCATTTAATATTTTAATAGGTTTTGTAATGTCTTATAAGTGAATATTAATACAATCTTTTTTAACTCTCACACAAACAAACAAAGAAATAAGGAAGCAAATTCCAGTGAAATGAATATGATATTCTTAACCTTGCATGCTGAAGATCATAATAATGGCATCAACAGTGGACTGGATTCCTGGGAAAAAATGAATGTGTTCAGAGTCTCATTGATTACTAATTTTTAAAAATGATGTGGTAAAATAACAAAGTGTTTCTCCTCATCTACAAATCAAACTTTTTGATGTTAATTATTCATGTGATGGCAATGTTTAAACTGTCATACCATGTAGTTAACAGTTTTGATCAGATGATCTGTAAATGTGTATTCTGCCTATTTTGACAAAAATTTCAGGTACTGTACTATAAATACTTGTTTGGAAGTAACAGAATTTTACTGTTAGAGTCTTCAGATTTTACTGTTAGATTCTTCAGATGCCTGAAGAAAAGTATGTTCAGGTTGTCTCAAAGGAGGGCATAGGTTTGTCAGACGGGCAGTGTTTTGCTTGTCATTTGCTTCTCACCATGACTCAGCATTCCTGTATTTGATCATATGAACAATGTATTTCAACATCTTTGCATTGTACTTTGCCCAGTTCTTTCAGTATATTTATCTTTTACAATAGAAAAAAAGTTATTGTGTGTTCTTTGAAAATAAAATGGTTCCAGAGAAGTATTACATGGCTCATACTTTAACTTTGAAGTATACTACGGAAGAAAAGAAAAATGAGAGGCCTGAAGGTGAAAACCTTATGTAACAAGCTAAGCACAGGCAATTAGAGATACAACAAGACCCTTTGAAAAGTTGCTGTTGTTGAAACTGTGAGGAAGAACACAACAAGTGGTGTTAAATTTGAGATCTGATACATTCCTTCTGTAGAGCATGTATCTGGTGAGATGTTCCCAAGATGGATTTTGCCAAGTGGCCTGTGCATTTGGGACACTGCATATTATTTCTGCTCAGAGTTCTGGCCAGTTTGTTGTGCCTTTAAGTGTGTTTAAAGGTTGCCCTTGACATTTAGTCCACTCGTGTCCGACTCTAGGGGGCGGTGCTCATCCCCGTTTCAAAGCCATAGAGCCAGTGTTTGTCTGTAGAGTTTCTGTGGTCATGTGGCCAGCACAACTAGACATGGAACGCCATTACCTTCCCACTGTGGTTGTACCTATTTACAGTGGACCCTCGACTTACAGACGGCTCGACTTACAGACTTTTCGAGTTACAGACTTCTCTGGCCGCAGAATTTAGATTCGACTTGCAGCCGGAGAATCGACTTACAGACCAGAAAAAAACCAAACTGGAACAAAAATAGAATAAAAACTGCCAGTTATGGGATTAATCGGTTTTCAATGCATTGTAGGTCAATGGAGATTCAACCTACAGACTTTTCGACTTGCAGCCACCGATCTTATGACTGCTGGTCTTCCGACCTTGCAGAACAAAGGCTTTTGCGGTTTAACCCACAACACCACCACATCCCTTAAGGGTGTTTAGGGTGTTTCTAATTCTTCAAAGGGTGTTTCTAATTCTTCAAAATGGGACAGCATAATTTTGATATTATACAAATTAGACAGACTATTTTGTATAATATGCTAATTCATGTTATGAAATTTAAGCACATTCAGTAGCTGAAATCCTGTTTGCATAGGGTAGTAAATCACAGCAGAGTATGCCCATTGAATTAGTGGGGATTTAGCGAGTCAACTCCTCCATAAGTTCCTTCATTCAAAAGGCCTGCTCTAGTTGCAAATTTAGGCAACAAGAAGAGGCAAAGTGCTCAAGTAGTTTAGATGCAAACAAAAGAGAGGCAGTACAACTGGAAAGAAAAGAGCCATACAAACGTGTTATTTTTTTATAAAAAAAAATGAGAACAGAGAGAAAGAAGATCTAGCAAAGGAGAAAATTCCTGGAGATTGTAACTTTAATTGCCCCAACAATTAGTCCCCATCAAAGTCAGGCTATTAAAAGTACTTTTGTATTTTAATACATTATTTTTTTTCTTCCATTGAGTACAGCAACCTACTAAAGTAGGTCAACCTAAGAAGAAGAGATTGACCCAAAGTACCCAGTGAGCCTCTTGGCACAATGGAGAAGTAGCAGGAAAAGAGTTCTCCTGAGTGATGTCACGGATTGACCTTGAATTAAACATTACTTACTAGAATATTTTGAAATTCCTTGTCTCATTAAATTTGCTTGAATTTTTTTTTCTTAGAATTGCAGAGCTGGAAGGGACCCTATGAGTCACTGAGTCCAGTCCTGGACAAGGTGGCATAATGGGGAATCAAATTCTGCAGCTAGATGCCTAAACCACTGAGCTATCCAGAAGTTCATGCTGATGTAAATGACAGCATGAAAACTAGAATAGGGAAATGTTTTTTAATGGACTATAATCCAGAATCCTCCTGCCAGCCTGGTGAATGTATTTCTTAAAAACTCACTTTCCCAGGCAGTGCATGATAATGAATTTGACAGGCACCTTGATGCTACAGGCATTGCTGTTGCATCATCATGTGCCTCCACAGCATGCTATATACTCCATTCCTAGTTAGCGTTGTCATCTGTGGACATCTATGGTTTCCTGTCATAGAGTTGACTGTTTGCCAAATATCAGCTTAGTTTGACACACGCTGCAGCTGATTTTAAGCGATTGGAAACTTAGAGGAATCTCTTTTGTCAAATCAGATGTACAGACATATGGTTTCCTTTTCTGTCTATTCACAAAGTGATGAGGCATCGCCATCCACCCATGTTCCAGAAGGCCTTCTGAAAAGATAATCTGTCATAATACAATTCTGAGAAAAACTAATTTGTAGGTATTATTTATTTATTTATTTAAATATGGCAATATGGCTATGTGAAATTAGAATGTTGAGAGTTCCAACCGCAACAGAGGCACTGAATCAATGGAACTTATGCAATGGTTTACTTAGACAGTCTTATCTATTCAGTGCATCCACTCAAGTTGGGACTAACAATTTTATTTGGTCTATGGTGCAATAAACCAAATTTATAAACCTATTTATTTATTTATTTTCTATACCACCTATCTGGCAACCCAGGCCACTCTGGGAAGTTTACATAATACCATAAAACAAAATATAAAGACAAACAATACAAAGCAGGCAATAGAATAAAATAATCTATGCAATATCAACAGATACATAAAACAACAATAGAACATTAAAATAAAATAAAGCATGGTAGAGGTTGAACATTAGTGAATTCTGGTTATTTTAGCATTATAGTATCAGATGTAGAGTCTGGGAAGGCCTGTCTGAATAGAAATGTTTTTAATAATCACTTAAAGGTTCCCAATGAAGGCGCTAGGTGAATATCGGGTGGGAGAGCATTCCATAATTGGGCTACAGGTTTCTGGTTACTGTTTTCTGGACCTCTCTTGGGGTCAAAACCCTCAGCTGTCCAGCCTGCAAAGATCTTACAGGATCTATTTATTTTAAAATACTTTTACCCTGCCTTTTTTCTTAAGAACGATCCAAGGTGGCTTACATAATTAAGAGACAATATGTAAAGCTAAAACCAGTAAGTATACAAATATTAAAAATATGAAATACCATACTAAAAGACAGTAAACAAAAGTAACATCCAAGACACATTCAAAGCAGTAAGACACAACAATGCATTTAACAACCTCAGTCAGGCATCCAATGATTAAAAGAAAGCTTGCTATTAAAAGTTGCATTTTCAGTTGAATTTGGGGAAACCACAATATACCAGCTGTATATTGTCTCCCAGCTTATTCAACTTATATGCAGAATACATCATGCGGAAGGCTGGACTGGAGGAATCCCAAACCGGAATTAAGATTGCCGGAAGAAATATCAACAACCTCCGATA